TAAAAGAAAGTCAAAAAGGATGAGAACACACTTACTTGCTTCTTCTGCAAGAAGCCTGGCCACATGAAGAAAGAGAAGAGTGTCCCAAGTACGCCTCCTAGCATGTAAAGAAAGGTAATTTTCTCTTTTTTGTTTGTCCTGGAGTTAATTTAGCTTTTGTACCACATGATACTTGGTGGGTAGATTATGGTGCTATTACTCACATTAGTGTATCCATGCAAGGTTACCTTTGGAGCCGACCGCCAAGTGATAATGAAATATTTATCTATATGGGTGATGGCAACAAGGTCACAGTGGAGGCTATTGGAACATTTAGATTACAGTTAAAAACTGGATTTTATTTGGATTTATTTGAAACTTTTGTTGTACCGTCTTCTAGGCAGAATTTAATTTCTATTTCTAGTTTGGACAAATTTGGGTTTTCTTGTTCATTTGGAAATAATAAATTTAGTCTCTATCAAAATTCAAATATTATTGGTTCTGGTTCTTTAATTGATAATCTATACATACTAGATGTAATTAGTTCAAATAAAGAAATTTTTCATATTGATTCTCGTGGTACAAAGTGTAAAATAAATGAGAACTCAGCCACCTTATGACATAAGCGTTTAGGCCATATCTCTAAATAGAGAATTCAAAGGCTTGTGTCGGATGAGATTCTTAAACCCTTAGACTTGGTAAACTTTGAGATTTGCGTTGAATGTATTATGGGTAAACAAACAAATTTTAGAAAATTAGGTGCCAAAAGGGCTAATTTGGAATTAATTCACACAGATATCTGTGGACCATTCCCTACGACAACTTGGAATGAGCAACAGTATTTCATTATGTTATAGATGATTATTCAAGGTACGACTACCTATTTTTAATTCATGAGAAGTCCCAATTCCTAAACGTTTACAAATCTTTTAAAGCTAAAGTTGAGCTTCAACTTGAAAAGAAAATTAAGGCCATCAAATCTGACTATGGTGGTGAATATTACGGTAGATATGATGGATCAGGTGAACAAGGTCCAGGGCCTTTTGCACTTTTCCTAAGGGAATGTGGCATCGTTCCTTAGTATACTATGCTTGGAAAACCAAGCATGAACGGTGTTGCAAAACATAGAAGTATGATTAGTCATTCTTCTTTGCCAGAGTCATTGTGGGAAGAAGCGCTCAAGATTGTAGTTTACATCCAAAATAAGGTACCAAGTAAAGTAGTTAACAAAACTCCTTATGAGCTATGGACTGGTAAAAGGCCAAGCCTAAAGCATTTACACATTTGGGGTTGTCCAACTGAAATGTGTCCTTATAGGCCACATGAAAGCAAGCTGGAATCAAGGAATATTATTTTTTATTTTGTTGGTTATCCTAATTAAACGCTCTCGGGGCTATAAATTTTATAATCCTACTACTAGATCATTCTTTGAGACGAGGAATGAGAGATTCCTTAAGGATGTTGAGTTTGGGAAGGAAGAGAACATAAGAAATGTTATTTTTGAGGGAGAACCTGTCATTGATAGTGATCAAGTCTTCGTGCCTATTACTATTCCAGTACTTACCCTAGTAATAGGTGACAATCATGGATTTATTCCTAACATTGTCCCTGTACAAGACAACATTGAGGTTCTCCCTCAAATACCCATAGATCAAGCTCAACAACCTCGAGAAGTGTCATTAAGGAGATCCACTCGAGAAAGGAGAAGTTCAATTCCAGATGATTACATTGTGTTTCTCCAAGAACATGAGGATGGCATTGGTTTAACGGAGGATGACCCAATTAACTTCTGTTAAGCTATGCGTAGTTCTAACTCTCAAAAGTGGATTGATGCCATGGAGGATGAGATTAAATCTATGCAAGACAATGATGTTTGGGATCTCGTTGAATTACCTAAAGGTGTGAAACCTATTGATTTTAAATGGATATTTAAAATCAAGAGGGATTCAAAAGGTAATATCGAGAGATATAAGACTCGTTTATTTGCTAAAGGTTTCACTCAAAAGGAAGACATTGATTACAAAGAAACCTTTTCTCTGGTTTCTTCAAAGGATTCTTTTAGAATAATAATGGCACTCATAACTCATTATGATTTAGAGCTCCATCAGATGGATGTTAAAACTGCGTTTCTAAATGGAGACATTGAATGAACGATTTATATGATGCAACCAGAGAATTTTGTGTTTGGTGACTAAAAGTCTATGGTATGCAAACTAATGAAATCCATCTATGGTCTCAAACAAGCTTCCCGTCAATAATGTTATCACAAGTTCCATCAAGTTATTACCTCATATGGTTTTGAGGCAAATATAGTTGATTATTGTGTTTATCATAAGTTTAGTGAGAGTAAATATATATTCTTAGTGTCATATGTCGATGATATACTGCTTTCTAGAAACGATGTAGGCTTATTACACGAAACCAAGAGATTTCTGACAAAGAATTTTGAAATGAAAGATCTTAGTGAAGCCTCTTTTGTATTAGGTATTAAGATACTAAGAGATCGTTCTCATGGTATCATAAGGTTATCACAAGAGAGCTATATCGGTAAAGATTTAGATAGATTCAACATGAAAGATAGTAAACCAGGAGATACCCTTATAGCCAAGGGAGACAAATTTACCCTCAAATAGTGCCCTAATAATGACCTTGAAAGAAATGAGATGCAAAAGATTTCCTATGCTTTAGCTGTGGAAAGTCTAATGTACACTCAAGTTTTTGTACACGTTCCGATATTACATTTGTAGTGGGAGTTTTGGGCAAATAGTTAAGTAATCTTAGGATGCAACATTGGAAGGAAGTAAAGTGTTTAATGCGCTTTTTGAAGAGAACAAAAGGATATATGCTCACTTATCAGAAGTCTAACAATTTAGAGATCACTGGGTACTTAGACTCTGATTTTGCTAGATGTCAAGACAACAAATACTCCACATCTAGATACATCTTTATATTGGTCGGAGGAGCTATCTCTTGGAAGGTTAGTTAAACAGACTATTATAGCTTCTTCAACTATGGCTGCGGAGTTCATTGCTTGTTTTGAGCCGTCCAACTATGAGATATGATTGCGATATTTTATCACTAATTTACGTGGTTGATGGCATTTAAAGGCCATTGAAAATATATTGTGATAATAACTTTGCAGTTCTCTATTCCAATAACAATAAGAGTACAACTAAGTCAAAAGTCATTGATATAAAGTTTCTAGTTGTTAAGGAAAGAGTTCAGAATAAGCAAATTTCTATATAACATATAAGGACTAATTTTATACTAGCTAATCCACTTACTAAGGGTTTGGTGCCTAAAGTCGTTCATGAGCATACTACTCATATGGGTATAATTCCTTATAGTACTTTAATTTAGTGGGAGTCTCATTTATGTTGTATTTCTTCTTTATTTTTTAATTTTTCTAGATATTTGTATTATTTGGATTTTCTACAGAAATAAAGTTGATTTTCATAATTCTATTCTGAGCTTGTTGTTATGCAATATATATGTTGCATTTTGAATTGATCTCTATAAAGAATAAAGTTTGGACTAGATGAAAATAGACATGTCTGAGATCACGTTATATGTAATTTCCATGTCACTTATTCATATTTGATCTATGTCATTGAGTACATACAATTGTGGTGATCGTTGTGGTTTAGTCACATAAGATATTGATGAAAGTTGCAGTGGTTCCCTTTTGTTGTATGAGATGGACCAGATTATTTAAGGGTAGTCTAAAAGTAATTAACAGCATATGGTTGTGCGCCTAAAGAATTTTGTGATATAAATGCTTAAATGAATATGAAGCCCAAGTGGGAGATTGTTAGAAATTTTATTTCTAATAATTAATGTAGGCTACATAATTATTTGTAGTATTTATATTAACTATTTACATTTAGTTAGCCTCAATAAAAGTGATTTAATTTTAAAGAGCCTTTAGACTATCAATTGAAAAAAACTAATATGGGCCCAAATAAGTGAAAATCAGATTTGGCCAATTAGGGATTAATGAGAACCCTAACAGGTTTAAAATCGTAAAGATGGTAATGATCTTTGATATGTCAAATAAAAAACATACGTCTCTCTATCTTTCCATCAGAAGAGGAACATCAAGTTCCGTTAAGGAATCCGGTGGTTTGGCTTGGTCAACGTCAATGGATACATGTATGTGTTACTAACCTTAACTCTGTAATCTGAGATAACAATTCTTAATATTGATTAATAAAAAAAATTTATTTGACTTTAAAATATTTATCCTAACATCAGTGAGATATGAGGGGCGTCAAGTGACCTGTGATGGAGTCCTAAGAGATTATTGCTTCGATCTAGGTTTTTTCTTCTATCTTCCTGTAAGCAAAAAAAATAAAATAAAATAATGAAGTGGTTCAAACTTTTGAGTCTTTTATCTAACCTCGTCTGTTGCAACATGAGAAGCATTTCAGGTGTAGCATGCTTCACTTTCATTATTCTTTTAGTGCTAGTAACCCTTCATGCTGAAGGCCATGCCCTTCGAATTAGTTCTTTTAATTTGAGTTGCTTTCTGATGGAAATGGTGAGGGCCAAACCGAAAATTAATTAATCTTTGAGAACGTGCATATTATAGTAATAGTACGTAGTACATTTTTCTATTGAAAATACACACAAAATCCCACATTTTTTAAGGAAAGTAAATTCTGTTCAAACCAAGACCAAATGACATCTTCTATGTCGCAATTATTAGTCCAAAGACTTAAAAAGTCAATGCCCAAGTCTTTATAAAGTTCAATTAATCTCAATACGACTGTCTAATTTATATATGTTTTCACATTAATAGTGATGCATAAAATCTTTTCAGACCTAATTTAATATTCATAGTATCATTGTAAATCACCATATACGTACAATTCATAACAACAATTTTTTAAAATATTAGTTTGAAGCTTCCACATGACCATTCCATGGATCTGATATTTTAAGGTTGTCCACGTTTGCTCATATGAGTTAGGCTGTTCAGTTCACACAAACAATCAACATCATTGGTATACATAAATGTGACATTAAAGGCTGAAAGTAATAGTGAGATGGTTGGATTTGGTGAAATATAATGTGGATGCCTCAGTTACATATGAGGGGCGTCAAGTGACCTGTGATGGAGTCCTAAGAGATTATTGCTCCGGTCTAAGTTTTTTCCTCTATCTTCCTGTAAGCAAGAAATAAAAATAATGAAGTAGTTCAACCTTTTGAGTCTTTTATCTAACCTCGTTTGTTGCAACATGAGAAGCATTTCATGTGTAGCATGCTTCACTTTCATTATTCTTTTAGTGCTAGTAACCCTTCATGCTGAAGGCCGTGCCCTTCGAATTAGTTCTTCTGAGTTTGTTTCTGATGGAAATGGTGAAGGCCATACCGAAAACTCTTACTTGTTTCTCAAGGGGAGTGAGTCTTCTGGGAAGTACTGTGAGCATATGTATGGCTTCTTGCCATGTTCCAGTAACATTTTGGGTCATCTCTTTCAGATTTTGGTTTATGAGTACTTGTTATTCCATGGTGAATCATACTTGGCTGCTGGAGGAGAACAGATTTTCAATATTCTTGGCCCTGGGGTTTTTGGTGCTAATGTATTTGATATTCTTGGTGCCCTTCCTGAGTCCCTAGTTCTTCTTGGTATGATTTAATTACTATTTTCTTTTTCTCTTTTTTTTTTTCCAAAATTATTTGTCATTTATTTTAGAACATATAAAAAGTTTAATCATCAAGTATATATATATACTGATTAATAATTCTAAAAATAAATCTATCTAAACTTATTTTACTTAATAACTCATTTAATTTATATTAAATTTTAATGATTCAAATTTAGGTAAATTTACATTAATAACTCATTCATTGAAATCATCTATATCAAAAAGAACATAAAAAATATTAATTATTTTTTTCAATAATACACTCAAGAAATAAATATAGTATAATTAGTCATTTATGGAAGGATATTTTAGTTAAATAACGTTATTTTCTGATGAGAATCGGTATAATTTATTTTTTTACAAGATCGGTGTAATTATTTATTTTCTTAAAATTAATGCGTTTCAGTAAATGACAAATAAAATGGGAGAAAGGGAGTATATATTAAAACAATAATTTTTATTACTTAAATATGTTTTAGTACATTAAATTGATATACCTCGTAGAAAAGGTCACAATTTTAGACTAAAAAATTATATATGTAACCCTTCTTGATATTGTTATCAGTTACTGGACTTTCTAGTGATGGAGAGAATGCACAAGAATGTGTTTCCACTGGAGTTGGCTTGTTGGCTGGATCATCCATTTTGCATCTGACAGTAGTGTGGGGAACCTGTGTTTTCGTTGGCAATCAAAAGCTTTCTGATCCATTCACTGGTAAATTATATATCCATTAATTTGTGTGTTTTTTTTTATTTATATTATTGATACGAAATATTTATCAATTTTATTCTCAAGACTATAAAAAAAGACTTGGCCAGTTAGAGATCTCTCTTTTTAACTGTTTTCTTTTAGAATATTCGAATCTGAAATCTTGTTAATATAGACTGAATTGAATTCTATTCGGACCAATAACTTGGTATCTATGTGTGTTTGATTCCCATATTACTTTTTATTTAAAACTATATTTTATGGTTATATATAGCATTTACTAAATTTATAGCTTAAACTAATGACGATTCCCATCATCTGAAGCATTAGAAGTAACTTCACTGTTGATGCTTGTTTGTTAATGTTTCACAATTTTTATGAACATGACCTTAATCCTTTGTTCTAATTTATTTTCATTATCTGTCAATAATTTTTGGATTTATAGGCTGTGGCATTACAATAGATGTAGAGACTATGAAGATGGCAATGATTATGGTTTTATCAGTTGTGCCACTCGTCATAATGCAGTTCTCTTACACATCACGCACTGTCACCTTGAAGATTGCTTTTATCGTTGCTGTCATTTTCCTAATCTCATACTTCATCTACCAGGTTTATTATCCAACACTTTCTATTAATAATCATATATATTTAAGTTAATACAATAATCTTAATCATTATTAAAGATTGGTAATATAAGAGTTTTTAACATTTGATATCAGAATTTGATCTTTCATTTATTTATGAGATTGTTACTGGAGATATCATTTTAATTTTATTAAGACCGATTGAATACCATCTTGTTAAATAAAAAAATGTGATGAATAATAAAATGAATATGGTAGTTTTTGTTATTTATAGTGGAAACCTCAATTATTCTTGATATATAAAGTATTCATAAGAATGAAGGTGGGAAGAATATGGTGGTGGATGAAGTTTAAAAATTCAAACAATTATTAAGTAGTTGACATTTTGCTTATTTGATTTTGTCAAGTTGTAACATGATCAAGCCCACTTCCAATTAAAAAACGCAATTATTTATGCTAGAACACAATAGTTTATTGATGTTTCGTTCACAGTAGTCTATTATGCATGTTGATTTTTCTTTTTTTTTTTTTGAGTGATTGCTCAATGATATACTATTTTTGAATCTACAGGTTTTTAAACCCCAAATAGAGACCGCGAGACTAGAATATATAAAACATGGTCATTTGATATTAGGAATTTTTCAGCATGTTGAAAAGAAAACTCTGCAATACATCCTCACAGAGGATGGCAGTCCCAATGAATTAGCCATAAATGGGTGAGTGAGATTAATTCAAAAGAGTTTTCTGATCTCAAAAATTAGACATCGTGCATGCATACATATATACATGACCACTAAATGCTTCTTCATGCAGGCTATATGATGAAATCAATCCAAGTGGAGACAAGGATTTATCATGTTCTAAAATAAGAGAGCTTCTGTATCATTACAAAGAAACTGAAACAAATGCCACAGACAAACAAATAGAACAAATGTTACAAAATATTGACCAAAATGGTGACAAAACTATAACCAGGGAAGAATTTGTCCAATTCATCAGAACATATATTGAGCAAACGAATCATGCTTTGGAAAACAATTACCTCCAAACAAAATCGCTGGAACCCCTGTATCGGGTATGTAATTCACCTTGTAACATGATTGCAAGTGCAAGCCAATAGGAGTGGACTTGGTGGGGTGGTTTGAATGAGATTATATGCTTAAAATGCTATGCTATTATGGTACACAAGGAAAGAACTTATGACATGAATGCCACACATTACTATCTTTTTCTGTCTTTGAAAATGTTAACCTTTTCACATAAACTAATGAAATTTCAAATAAATCTTTGTAATTGTCAATCGTTTTATTCACCTTAAACTTAACTAGTTACTGTTATTTTAGTCCATTAGTATTATTACTCAAGTCAAACTATACATTTAACGATTGAACTAACATGATTAATAGATTGCAGTTCTAGGGACTTTTATTTTTAAAATTTTCTTGTTTTCAAAAACTAAAGTAACAACTCTTAACACTTTGGTGATTTACCCATTTAAGAAAATCTATTTTCGGACTTTTAGTCCTGTTCACATTGTTTATGGTTGGATTTTCCTTCATTCTTTTAGCCCCTACAGTCATGTTTGGTGGGATACAAAGGGCATCTTCACTCATTTCCTTGCTAAATTAAGCACGTCCTTAATTAAACAGGATATTGTGAAGCCATGGATGGACTACACAAGGGAAGAACGTGAATTGAAGAGACATGTTATACTTGAAGTCTCAAAGCATGTTTGGGTTGGCAAGCTTTGCAAAGAGGATGGCACACCTGATGAATCTGCTATCAGAGGGTCAGCATCTTGAAATATTTTCAATATTCTATATGCAAATTGTACAGTTTACAACTTAATTAATTTGATGTTCATTGACTTCAACTATATGTAAGAAATAACGGAATATCATAATTAAGAACTTTAAATAGTCAAAAGCTCAAGTTGATTAGTGTAAGTTGTCAAATAAGCAAATGAGAGCATTATCTTAAATATTTTTGAATTGAGTATTCTGTATTCTTGCATGTTCTCATAGCTGTGATGAAACAGTTTATTTGAGAAAATTGATAGCAATGGGGACAAGAAGGTCTCAAGATCCGAGTTAGAACATGTATTAAAGGACACTCAGTTTGCTAATGAGGAAGCAGTTACAAAAATGCTTCAAGAACTTGACCGTAATAAAGACAATGAAATAAGCAAAGAAGAATTTCTGGATGGAGTTAAAAAATTGCTCAACACAAATCCCAGTCAAGCACTTCGCTCAAAATCTCTGCCTCATAGAAATGATCATGTAAGTACACTGTTTATTTGTTCAAACAACTCAATTATTTGCAATTTTAAGGTATCAAACATTGAATAAAGTATATTGAGAAATACTAGTTACACTCTATTTAACACTCTCCTTAATACTCTTTCCAATATTGGTTGAAATCACAAATTTTAATGAGTCATACCTATAGATCAAGATCAAGGTCCATTAAATAAGATATAGGACTCACAAAATTTGAGGTTTACAATAAATTTCAACCAATAATAAAGAATGTTTCAATGAAAGTATCAAAAAGAGTGTTGTTAGCATTCTTCAAGTAAATTTGCAGTTGGATTCTTTGTGTTAGACTTGGGAACACGTTGAAAAGTTGGTGAAAGGTAATCAAAGCAAAGGGGTACGTGCATGGTTGAATGCTATAGGATATGTGGTGCTAGGAATTACTATGTTGTCTCTTCTAGCTGAGCCCTTAATAGCAAGTGTCCAGAAACTCTCTGAAGAAGCAGGGATTCCCTCATTTTTCATCTCATTTATTTTAGTCCCCTTGGCTACAAATTTTAGAGAAGCAACCTCAGCAATAAGCGAAGCTAGCCACAAGAAGAGACGCAATACTTCTCAAACAATTTATGAGGTTAGTCCTTTTCCTGGGTCAAATACATTTCACTAATCTAACTATATAATATTTATGTGAAGATTATTTATGTGAATGCAGATTTATGGAGCAGTGTTCATGAACAATATTCTTGGCTTTGTGGTGATCTCTATTCTTATATATGTGCGAGATATCACTTGGCAATTCTCAGCTGATGTATTGGTTGTGGCAATTGTTTGTTCTATTATGGGGCTTACTGCATCGTTTAGATCCACTTTTCCTTCATGGACATTTTATCCCGCATATCTTTTGTACCTCGTCTCATTAGTTTTGGTTCTTGTACTCAAAGATGTTTTTAATTATGTCTAGAGATTCTATTTGTGTTTGAACATCTCATTTAATCATATATCTCACTTAAACTAGCCAAGTATATTTAAGGCTTTCACATTTTTTATTTGAATATTCAAAATAGTATCACAAGTGATGATACCTTCTAGCTAATATATATATATAATATATATATATATATATATATATATGAGAAGGGATCGGTTTACTCTAAGAATAAGTTTACCTAAACTTACTCCGCAAACTTACTCCGTTCAATAACTCATGTTCTATATTATATTTTAATGATTCAACTATTGAATTTAAAGTTTTTAATATATAGATCAAATTTATAAATTTTTAAAAAGTTTGAAAATCATTTGATATTTCATTTAATTAAATTAAATTAACGTATAAAATAATTTTATAATTATCTATCAATTTAATTAATGAAAGAAAGTATCAAACGATTTTTAAACTTTTTAAAAATTTATAGATTTGATCTATATATTAAGAATTTTAAATTGAATGTAGTTGGATCGTTAAAATTTGATGTAGAACATCAATTATTAAATAGAGTAAGTCTAGGTGGACTTACTCTCTCTCTCTCTCTATATATATAAAAGAATTTCAAAATAAATTTCTTTAAATAAAAAAACAAAAAAAAACATTTACATAAAAATGTCTCATGGAGAGGATTCACATTTTCATCACTTCAATAAACAAAGTCTTCAAATTGTAATTAATATGAAATAAAAAGAACTAACATGGCTCTCTAAAGGCCATTTCAAGTTGTAAAAGTTAAACAAAGGTTTCTAAACATAGGGAAATCAGTTCCACATCAAAAGGTTTAACATATTGACATAAACATACATTTCATTAGTTTTGATGTTGCATCCTATCAAACTACAACTCAAACACATAAAAAAAATCTTAAGCCTTATGATCAATACCAACTTTCTAAAGATTTTCTCTTGCAAGTAGCATTTAACCAAACAAAACAAGAAATTAAACACAGACAAAATGGATGAATATAACAAACCAATTACTCAATCTCTAATTATATATATTGCTCAATCTTTGTTCTTACCCTATAAAATTATGTGTTCTCACTTGCCCTATAAGTTCTTTAAAGATATTCAATTCAACACTTACACATCTCAATCAAACATCGTAAAGATTGATCAAGGATCAAACTTTCTTTTGTTCTTTTTAATTAAATAAATGTAACTCACTTAAACATAAAATCATATCATATATTATTATAATTTTTTTTAAAAATCATTTCTCATTTTAAGAAAATATATTTAATTATTTTTAAAATATATTTTTTATTTTAATAAATTTATTTTAAATACGTGACAAGCTCTTGACTTTGATAGTCAGTGTAATCATTTGAAATCACAAACTATATTGAAAATGATAATAGATATGTGTCTTTGATAAATATTATAATAGATCCCATCATTAAATTTAATATATATATATATATAATTTTATAATGATGTACGTTAAGAAATGGTAATTTATGGTGATGGCAAACTTAGGTGAGGAGGATGAATGTTCTTCACCTTAAGCTTGCTCCGGCCACTTGATCTTCTCCTTGAAGGTTGCTAGATGAAAATTCTAGCTAGGAAGAACCTTGATGATATATATATATATATATATATATATATATATATATTAATAATATCATTAACAATTTTTTGTATATAAAGTTAGGCATGCATAGCATTTTCCTTATAAGACAAAAATATCCCAACAACATTAACATCTCAAAGTTTGTCATTCATTTACAACACACCTAAATATATAAAATAAAAATAGAAAATAATACAAAGTGCATGAGGGGACCAAACTAAAATTCATGAGAAAAATTTAACAAAATCTAAAAAAAGGAAGATCATAATAGTTATAAAAAAAACTCCGATGAATAAAAGATGACAAAGTATCCTACTAAATAAAACCACTCATATGAGATAAATTATAAGTTACCAATCTATCAATATATTGATTACCTTTTCTAAAGATGTGAGAAACTTGAAACTGCATCTTGGAGTACAAAAGCAGACTATAATTTCATCTGTTATGAATGAATCAAATTACCAAGATAGAATTATGAAAAACTTTTAAAATCAACCATGAATCTCGTTCCAACCATAACTTATTATTCTATAGAAAAAGGCATATTTAATTGTCACCATAATAACAACCAACTCTACCCCTAAATGGAATGACTGAAAAAACTTCTATCATTGGATGGAATGAAGAGTTAATAAGAAAATGTGATGATTGTTAGAAAGTAATTTATAAAGATAAAAAAGTCTTAAAAATATGTAAATGAAAAGACTATATGGTCTTTATATATTACTAACTTAAAAGAGACACTATATAT